TTAATTATCTTTATTCCGATTGCTGGTATTTTAACTCTTTGTGGTGAGGAAGGCTTTAAAGTCCATTAAAGTGGAATGGCAAACCCTTACATATTTTTCTTTTGCTATATTAAAAATAATTAAGCACAGTGATCAAGCAAAGCACAAGATGCACAGCTCCCCCTTCTTAATGACTGGTTTCTTCTCCTGTAGCCCCATGGACTATTTGCATTCAACCTACATATCGTCACACGGTTTTGTAATTATTTGTTTGAGCATCTGTCTTTTTAAGAGTTAAAGATTTTGAGGCCATGACTCTGTCCATGATACGGTGTTCAGCTCACTCTCAAGAAATGTGTGTTTCCAGAGAGAAAAGAGAATTGCAGTGCCGTAGTCTTCTCCAGCGAACCGAAGCATTTCAGAGGAAATACCTCCTTTACTCTGAAACAGAGGGATTTTTTTAAAAGCGTGTGATACTAGAACTCAAATCCAAATTCTTGCTCTAGTAAACTAATTATCTTCCGAGGCCACAGGAAATGTGTAATTTGCTTCATAACGTGTCTGAGCCTGCAAGTTTGATCACGTCAAGATGAATGAGAACTGAGAGCTGCTTGGCTGCCCCACGTGACCGGATAGGGCACACACAGGCAGAAGCCAGTGGGTGTCAGTCTGTCGTAATCAGAGGGCCCCAGGAGTGTTGCTGCCCATGAGTGCGCCCCCAAACTGCCCTGGAGTCAGAGGGTCTGTGCTGGGCAACCCAGTACGGGAATTCTCTCTCATCACTGTAGGTGCAGGATGCATTTGACTTCCAACGAAAGGCATTCACACGCCATACACACAGAAACAAGCTGTTTTTTTTTTTCAAGTTCAAATATAAAATGAATCAGTGTAGACAGAGGAGCTGTTTTGATGCGGCAGCTCTAGCCAGGGTGATGGGGCTGGCTGCCAGCTGCCAGGCTGTTTTATCCAGAGGATCTCTTTTATTTCCATGCTTGATTTTAATTGCAAAGAATTGAGAAAACAGATATTCACAGATAGAAGAATCTGGCAAATGGCACCCAATTAGTCTGGCTGCTCCTCAATTAAACACGGCCAGAGCAAGGATTTCCTTTCACATCTGAAATATGTGTTATTCTGACAGCACACCTGAGTGCTCCGGCCGTCTTCAAAACACTTTGAAAATGTTCTCTATGTTTTCTATTTGGAAAAGTTAACATCAGCTTACGTGAAGTCAAGTCAAATCTCTGGTTGTTTATAAAGTCCGTTCAGCTCTGTCAAACCCAGTGTGAGACCACAGAGTCTCCCTACGTCTGCTCCAGTGCAAAGTGGGGGAACCAGGAGCTGGGAGCAGGGTCAGAACAGCTGCTGTCACCATGTCCTGAGCGGCTGCCACGCAAAACACCATGTTTGCCAGAATTTTATGTGCGTAGGAGGCTCTTGGCATTCTTGTTAAAGTGAAGATTCTGACACTCTTGGTCTGGAATGAGTCAGAGGCTGATTCTGGTGATGCTCCTGCCACTGAGCAGAGAACCACACAAATGCGCAAGGCGTTAGGGATTCCAGGTCTCCAGGGGCCTCTGGGGAGGAGCAGGACACCCACCAGGGGGTGGAGGAGAAAAGCTCAGGATGGGAGCGCTGGGGTGGGGGTCAGGGGGTGGGGGGGCAGCATGTGGAAAGGGCAGCTAGGACCGGACTGCAAGTCCAAGGCCGTGGACACGTGCCCTATGGGGTGAGGCCCTTGCCAGGAGACACCAACTTCCTTCCTGCAATAACCCTACAACGGAGACCCCGAGCAGGGATCTCAGTTCACAAGCGCTGGCGACTGAAAATGGTCAGAACCAGGGTTCTCAGTAACTTATCAGTAACTTATCAGGTTTCTAGGAGCAAGAAATAGATTTCTCTGTCATTTAAGCTGCTATTATTTTTGGTGTTTGTTTTAAAAAAAAAAAAAGCAAACATATCCTAACCAATACAGACCTTCAGTTAATTCCCCCCATGCCGACCTACATCTAACCTTCTTACTCAACATTATTGCTGCTGAGTCATCATGTGTGGTCTTGTGTCACTTATAACCGAAAGTAGCCGGAGCAGTGGATATTCAACGAATGTGCCCACACTGAGTTCAAACCGCAGAGAATACTGATGACACATCAGGCCTCCCTGGTGGTGCAGAGGGTTAACATGCAGCACTGCAAGCTGGCCATGACTGCTGTGTTGCGAGTTTGACCCCTGGCCAAGGAGT